AAGTTGTGTGAGACGACTAAGTGGGAACCCTTGGGCTCCGCAGCCGGGCTAGAACCCGGTAAATTCAGATGACCGACGGATGAATTGAGACCAGTTAGGTCTCGATAGATTTTGGAAAGCAGCCATGAGACAAAATACTGCTTCAGGCAGTTCAGTGTTCGGGCAGTTTCAGCACTTGGGCAATGTTAGCATTTGTGTTTTGGGTTGCAAGTTCGGATGGAATAACAGGTTGTTTGGGTTATGCTAAGTCAATCACAGCTGGATTATCCGAGCTTTAGCCGAGTATAAGTGACCTGCAGAGATAATTGGGTCTGTGATTTCCGCTTTATAATGGGAACCTCGAACTATCAGAAGTTGAGTAGACAGTTGAGGGATAAACAGACTGGATTCGTCGATGATGACTCGATATGAGTGGTCTATCAGGGAATCAGACCATCTCGAGATAGTAGATTCAGACGAGTGGATGCGATCCTGTTGCGAGGAATTCGTTCATATGAGGATATTAGGGCTTTGCGAAGATTGGTCACAGCTACCTTGCGAAGGCTAGGGTGTGCCCAAGACAGTTATCATGTTACTAGAAGTGGTTTGGCATATAAGAAATAGTAAGGAGTGATTTCGAGGACGAAATCTAATTTAAGTGGGGGAGATTTGTAACACCCGTTTATTTATTAGTTAAATAAATAAATTAGTGAACGAATGGTAGCCTAAAATAAATAATTATATATGTAGTGTGTTGGGTTCGAGGAGTTAATTGTCACATTTTTAGAAGTCGGGGGTTAAAAGCGTGAGTTTAGGACTCACTTTATAAATATTTATGAAGACAAGGGCTCCGTGGTAATTATCGAGATTTATTTAAAAATAAATGAGGTGGAAGGGCTGAATATGTTATAATTAAGATATTGGGGGACTGTTTGGTAAATTGTGTACCTAAGTTGTAAGGGATTTTTGTGGTGAGGGTTCAAAGGGTAATTAATGCATTTATTTTGAAAGGAAATCGGATGGGAGGGACCTATCCTGCCATTATGAAAATATGTTTGTGTGTGTCGGGTATATATATATGCGCTAAGAAACCCTAACCCTAAGGAATACTATTCAGCCGCCACCTTCATGTTAACCCGGTTGCCACCCTCCTTCACTTCCGATAATCGCCACCACCAATGGAACCCTCTCCGGCCACCGATTCCACCACCGAATCCGACCACTTTGCCTCCTCCTACTGCTCGAGAATTCATTGGCAACCAAATCCGGGACGAGGAACGTTAGCATGAGGGCTGTGGAACCTCCTCAGTCGCCGTCCCGCTACCTGATGCCGCCTGTGACGCTGTGAATGGCCGGAGAACCCCACCGTAACCAAAGTGTAACCCGTGAACGGCCAAGAGGACTACCGGGGTCGTAACCACCGCCATGGCGTACGCTGCTGATGCTGCGTTTCGACGACGACGAGACCGCCGCCTGCCGCCTTGGTATTGAGCGCCTTCTCAGTGTGGTTGTCGGGGGGCGTAACCAAATCGTGAAGGTGTCACCGCCACCTCCTTCTTTCCTGTTGCGTCGTCACAGGTCCACTGCCGCCGTTAGATGCTTCTGTGACGCCTTCGAGCTCCATCCGTTGCTGCCATCGATGATTGTATGTGCTACCATCGCTGTCGGCCGCCATACGGCACCAAGAGGGTGGCTGGGTTATTTCTGCAACCGGGTGTGTGTATGTAGCTGTATTTCCACTGTTGGTGTGTGATGTGTGTGCTTGGGAGGTTTGTTTCACCGGAAAGCAAGTGCACCACCATGGCAGCCAACCATGGTGGTTGCCGCCGGTTATAGCTTTTCTGCCACCACCGGCCACCATAGGGGTGGCTGTGTGTGTGCGCGTGTGTTATTTTTAGTGTGTATGTGTGTGTGTATTATCGAGTTGTACATTGTAATGGTGCCAAAATAATAATAGAAATCTCGAAACCACCACCGTGAGGTGGTGGCTGCCGCCTCCTGCCGCCACCGGCCGCCGTGTCGGGTGACGGTGTGCCTCGTTGTATGGTGACTCGTTTGTGGTGTTTGGACAAGGGACATAAGCCCTAATGGGCCCAATGAAGCCCTAATTGACATTAAAGCTCAAACACGTGTCTAATGGGTTTAATGGACCCTAATGGATCTAAGGACTTAGCTAATGGGCTTATTGGGATAAGTTGGGTTGGAAAACCCTAATGCCATGAAACCCTAATTTGGGGTTTATCGGGATCGCATCGGGATTAATTAATGAACTCATAATATTAATTAATAATCATTGCAATCAACCTAAGTCAACATTGGACTTAATGGATTAAGTCCTTAATGGGTTAAGTAGGAAACTTAACCCTAATCTCCATTTTATGAGAAACCCTAATTTCACTTGGGTTTATTGTTGGGCCCTTCTATTGGGACTTGATGATTGGGTTATTAAATGGGCCATACAGGATCAAGCAATTAGACTAGAATAATCTAACGGGCCTAGGGTAAGGCCCATGTAAGGGGTTTGGGCCCAATTTGGAAAATTGGGCCATAGTTTGGGCCTTAATGATTAGACGATGTTGGGCCTTAGAATAAGACCATGTATAGGTCTGGGCCCAATTTGGAAAATTGGGCCATATGTTGGGCTTTGATTTCTAATTGACTTTGGGCCTATGGCTTGGGCCTTGGGCTTGAATAAGCCAAGCTAGGGGTAATGTAGTTATTACCCAAAGAATGTACTTATGGTTATGTAGTGGAACCCAATTATTAATTGGGTGATGTTTGATGCTGACAGTTCGGGAATCTGTCAGCCAGCAGCTGGGGTTGAGTCTGCGGGACTTCAGCAGTGTGGGATTGTGTCTACGGGACTTCAGCAGTGTGAGGTGAGTTACCTTCCAGTAGCGGTGGGTCTACGGCCACAATGCCGGCCCACCAGTAGGAGTTGTATGTTAGATGATTGTCTTTGTGATATCATCTAGGTTTGCTACTACCTGATATGTTATATGCTGGCATGATATGTTATATGTGATAGTAGTAGAGTTCAGTTGTTAAGACCGAAGGGTAGGTCAGACACCCCAGATATGTCTGACAATATGTGATGATATGTTTATATGCTGGCATGATATGTTATATGTGATAGTGATAGTAGGAGGGGAATAGTCCCCAAGTTCGGTTGTTAGGACCGAAGGGTAGTTCGGACACCCCAGATATGTCTGATAGTATGTTTATGTTATGATATATGTGATAGTAGCAGTAGGGGTGGAATAGTCCCCGAGGGTCGGTTGTTAGGACCGACGGGTAGGTCAGCACCCCAGAATGGCTTGACATGGGTAGGTCAGTACCCCAGAATGGCTTGACACGGGTAGGCCGGCACCCCAGAATGGCCGTACCGGGTAGGTCGGCACCCTAGAATGGTCGTATCGGGTAGGTCGGGCACCCCAGAATTGCCCGGCAGTATGTATGCTATGTGATTGTATGGTATGTGGTATGATGGGGGAACTCACTAAGCTTTATGCTTACAGTTTTCAGTTTTGGTTTCAGGAACTTCGTTTTTGAAGGAAAGGAGCCGGCTTGATCGCAGCGCATCACACTATGGTTTTCCGCACACGAGATCTTTGGGATTACACTCTGATATTGTTTTATGACAACATGTTTTAATTATCTCTACTTGGGTTTTGACATGACATGATATTATGGATGTTTTCTTATACTGTTGGTTTTATAATAATGTATTTAAAAATGAAATTTTTGTCCTGTATTTTTGGGATGTTACAAATGAAATATAAATTTAACTATAACAAATACTAAAATTTATATAAATAATAAAATTGTACAAAGTTTTTTACAAATTTCTAAAAACTTCTTTATACACAACATTGGATGTTTTATTTGTTAGTATATCATCATTATCTAAAATCAACAATTTTAATCCTTGTCTACTTTGAACTCTGGATAAAGCAAGATACAATTGACCATGTGTAAAAATAGGATCCTTGAGAAACAAACCAACTTTCGATAAAGACTGTCCTTGGCTCTTATTAATTGTCATTGCAAAATACACAGCCAATAGAAATTGTCTTTTTTGGAATTTGAACGGGATCTTGTCTTCAGAAGGAGTTAAAGACATTCTTGGAATAAAAGTACGGTTTCCAATATTACTTCCAGATAAGATAACTTCCTCAATAACACGTTTGCCCAAAGATATAACCTGTAGTCTAGTCCCATTACATAAGCCATTTTTCTGATCAATGTTTCTCAATAACATAACTGGAATACCGACTTTTAAAATGAGCTTATGGTTTGGCAGACTTGAGACTTTAAGACCATTTAAAACTCTCGGTTTATAATTCCCATAAATCTTACCGAGGATTCTTTTTGTAGAATAAATCCAAAGAGTGATCTTGCCAGTTTAGTAAGAAAAATCTAACTTTAAAACAATCTCACCTTAAGCTCTAATTGCTGCAGAAATTATCTTCCAAAGAAATATCTTACCAGTTCCACCATAACCATAAACAAAGTATACACCTCCCCTGTTATGTTTAACTACATCCATGATATCAAGAAAAATGTCCCGTTGCTCGTTTGTTAATGCAACAAATAGCCGATCAAACCCGTTCTTTAAATTTGGTATGTCATAATCTAGATCCTCAGTAATAAGACGATTGTTGAAGATGAAACAGAATCAACATCTGGGTAAGGCATCTTTCCATATTTTTTAAGACTGGAATTGTTATAGAGTAAATTTTTTTCTATCTGAAACAAAGTCAAGTTTGTAAGTTGATCTTCGTTTGGTGATAAACTTATATGGAAAATAATATATTAATTAGAACGTATTGATTGGGACGTAAAATATAATTGAATTTATACTGAAATTTTATATGATACTCTTTTAATAATAATGAGATAAAGTTAGATTACCTGGAGACTTTAATCTCTGTTGTTGATTGTAAAGAATTCCATCTGACAGGTATTCCCAGGTGTTTTGCCAAACAATTTCTGGTTTATGCAAATGTTGGACAATGACATCATAGCAAATAAGAACTGTAGATAAAAACCAAATCCAGAAAGACTTGCTTCCTTAATTGCATCGATAAATTTTTGTCATCATCTAAAAGGCCAAGATTATAACATACATCTTTAAAAGAAGAACATAGTTCACAATTGACTGTGCGAATTTCTTCGAATGATTTAGGACCTTTCACTTTATTTAAAAGAATTCTTAAGAAATATGCTTCTCCAAGTTTAGGTGAAACAGAGTGAATTCTACCAATCGCATATCTAACTTTCCTTGGCTTCCAAATCAGATATTTACGTTGCCAAACAAACTTTGTAGGGAATTCAACATATGTAAGTTTTCGTGCTTCTTTATTGATTTCATTACACTTCATGCAAGATGTGAACATTGAAGAAGCAATTGAAGTTCGATCAAGAACATCTTCAGTGTCATTGTCTGCCTCATATACAACTTGTTGTTGATCGGGAAGATGAAAAGGTAGTGTAATCACAACAGGATATCTATAATGAACATCGTATTTAAAAATCCGCCATGATGCTTCACATGTAGAAATATATCTACAATCATAGTATTCTTTAATTTCATCCACTGCATCGTTGTTATCGGAATCATTATTGGTTTGCACCATAGAAACAATAGCTCTATCAGGACCCTTGTTTATATATTTAAACAAATACTTTATAGAAGATCCTTGATTGTACCATTCAACATTAATGTGTGCCTGATATCTTTTCAACAAATATTTGTTGTATGGAACAATAGTTCTGTTATCTAACTGAACACCAGATTTTTCAACAAAATGTCCATCATTTCTTCTCATATATAAGGGAAAACCATTTGAATCAACTGAAGTATGATTACAAGATTGCTTTGGAAAGTTTTTAAAACACTTTCTGTCGACCATGCATGGACAATTCAAATTTTCAGCTCCACATGGACCGTGAATCATGAACTCCCTGACAGGTGAATACAATTCTGGATCATCATCGATATTTGGAATCTCAGCAGAAATAATGGGATCGATATATTCAACTGTAGGAAGCTTTCAGTCAGCATGTATAAACAGACATATATGAATATGAGGCAAACCTCTTTTTTGAAATTCAATTGTATAAACCACTGCATGCAAAATATACAAATAAGATACAAGTTAGCAACTAATATATATATATATATATATATATATATATATATTATATATATATTATATATATATATATATATATATATATATATCCACACATATATAATAAATAATAACAAACATATTTTAAATATTTTTAGGAAAAATATAAATTATTATATTTAAATTTATACGTTAAACTATAAATTTAAGTACTTGCTTGAACCTTCCCAAAAATTTCATTTTCCCTTAAATCTTTAATAAATGCATCCAACTTGATCTTAAATAACCTACATAATATATCCGGTCTATCTTCTGGATGAAGTGGAGTGTCCTTAAGAAACCTTTGAACTTCTGGCCATTTTGGATTACACATAAAAGTTATGAAAAAATCAGGATATCCAAACCATTTACAGAGCGACATGACATCCAAAAAGTTTTGCATCATATAACATGCACCACCGGTAAATGAAGAAGGTAAGATCACACGTTGCCCGACGTTCGAAATATCTGTACTCCCAAGTGCTTGGTGATTACGTAAATTCTCATAAGACTCACATCTAAGAATTTTTTGTTGGTTACGTATGAAAAATAGTCTCAATTTCAATCATGGTATATCCATCAACCAAAAATTGTTGGAATAACCTTTTTGCATTAAGAATTAGTGAGAACGATTGATCTCTGTCTTAAATTCTATAGGCGAAAAATTCTCTCATTATATGCAGAGAAATAATTTGAACAAAAAAGGAAAATTGGTAGCTTATGAGTTCCTTTTTTGTATGAATTCGAATTCGAATGGATTGATGTATAAGAGTTGCTGGTTTTATGGATTGAGTGCAACTAATTTAGGATATTTAGGATATGTTTTAGGATATAAGTAAGATAAGATAATGATTTATGCATACTAATTTCTACATATTTAATTTCTGCATATTTTCTGTCTATTTTTCTGCATATTAAGTCAACCGATTATGCTGATATATAGGAATTGAATGTCAATGAATGCTGTGATTATATGGGCGGGAAAAGCAGATAGAAGATTCACAGTGAAATGACACGTGACAAGATATAGTGTTAATAAAAGGGACACGTGACATTTAGGAGAATGTTTTATTAGGGAGAGAGATGAGTCAAACCCAAATGTGTAGGCTTTCAATTTATGCATAACACCGCTTGTATACATATGTATTGTAGGGATTAGGGTGTAAACACGTGTTTATGAAGGCATTGATTTCAAATTGATAGTGAAAGTGATGAAAACTACAAGTTAGTGAAAAAGGTTACAAATTTATGATAATGATGTTTTTAAATTATTGATGCTGTGATGGCGTTTACGATAATTTATAAATTAAATATGAAACCAGTACGTGTTGTACAAATTCTAGATGTGGAATGAAATTGATTTGTGCCTATGTTTAATTGTAAATTTTGTGTTTGTACATCACAATATCACAACTAACTTGTAACTTTTGGTAACTTTATTTTTATTTTTTATCATGTTTTACAGACAACAGCTTATAAATTAGTTTTTAAAAAAAAGTCACTTAGATGTTTAAATAATTTATTGAGTTTTTGTAAAATTTTTATAAATATAACTTTTATTATTATAAAAACTCAAATTTTTATATGTGCACCTAGCTTATCAATTAGTTTTATTAAATATTATTTTTTATCCATTAGTATTTTAGCTAGTTCGTGGTGTATGTGACATATTCAAATGAAATAAAGTTGTTCTTTTATAAAAAAATTGGTCAAAGTTTGGTTTGACTGTTTTAACCATGTCAATCGTTTTTTTTTTTTTTTTTTTTTTTTGTAAATCAATTGGACCAAAAACTCAAAAAGTAAGGGAAGAGTTTTGATTGATCTGTCACTAATCCATTTTTAATAATTTACCAAGTACAAATACATGAATCAAATACAAGGAATTAGACTCAATAATGAACAACCATGACGTTATATTCCACAACCGCATCACCGGAGGTAAGATTAAAATCATGAGTTTTTGCGGTGGCGACACCCCTCGCCATCCTAAAAACACCAGACCCACCAACAATCGGCATCTCACGGTAAGGATGAAACACCGCATTCCGCCCCAACAAACTAAGAGTACTACCATTGTAATCCCCTCCGGTGAACACCAAGTTCATGGTCATCAGTAAACCAGACTCCTCCAAACACGCCGAACCATAGATGCCTTGTGCTTGACCGACAACAGTAGAGTTTGGTTCAGGTCCGGTGGTGAGCTTGTCGTCAGCCATGGCGAGGAACCCGAACGCAGTTGGAGAGGTGGAGGTGATGGTGGATTCGGCGACTCTCATGGCGGTGGGGGAGGTGCCACTGACTAAGTCGTGTAGATAGAAGTGAAGGTGGGTCTGCTTTTGGGTCATGGTGGGTAGGTTTTTGAACCATTCTTCTACGGCTAAAGGGTCTTGATCAATGGCATGGACAAGAGACATGGCTATGAGTAACATTGAGCTTAATATTAGGGTTATCCATGGCTTCACCATTTCTCTTCCTGTTTGATTGTGTGTGTGTCTGTGTGTGGGTGGGTGTTTGATATTCAGTTCGGAAGATGGAAACGATGAAGACTAATGGGATAGGTTGGCATATCCACATACGTACATATACATGTAAACTAAAGGAGTGGGTATGATATTCTTTTCATTAGTTTACCTAAAACACTACTTTCTTAATTTCTAGTATAAAATGTTTATCAGGAATATGAAAAATGATGGCTAGTTTAACATATTAGAGATGGTAAAATTAATGGGTGTAGTAGATTGACTATTTGTGGTCATACGGGTATGGATGATTAAAACCATTTTTTTTGGTACGAGTTGAAATGGGGTAACAGGAGTTAATTAATTAAACGTACTTATTTTGTCTAAATCATTTTAAAACAAAAGGTGTGTTAAATATGATTATAAAACTTATATTATTACACTAGTAATGTAATAAATTAAATAAAATATTCCAGAGTTTATGCATTACTTTTTTTTTGTTTGACCATGTCCATAACTATAACTATAACAAGCCAATGTCAGTGCAAATAGTCACTTGATCTTATCTAGGGTTGCACATCCAGGATGTGTAATGTACAACAATATCAATCTCTTCTCAAACATGACGGGGTGGCAATGCCCATGGATCACAAAGCAGAACGGAAGGGAGTAGGCCAAAAGACAAACACCTTAGGTGAATGCAGAGCACGTACATTTATGAAGGCAAACCCAACATGTTCATCGCTAAACCTTGACGCGGACCGTCTGTTAAACCCTAATTTCAGGTATTTAAGAGATAATGATCCCTCACATGACCTAATTCATTTGGGAAAAATCTCAAAGTGTTCATAGAGTTTCTGTTATTATTTATGTCACGTCATATTAATTATTTGAACTAATTAGTTAGTCTGTTAGATAATCAGGTAGATTAGTTTTCAAGCTTTGTAAGTTTTATGTTTCCTTTGTATAAATAGTTCAAAGTTGTAATAACTTTAGTAATCAATTCAGTGAAAAAGTTTGTTCTTTCATCTTTGCAATTCATTTCATTCAGGAATCAACATGGTATCAGAGCTTCTGATTCCTGATTTATCATCACAATTCTTCTTTTGATCATTCATTTCGTTTCTGCACTCTGTTTTCTCAATCAATTCACTATGTCCGTTCCAGTTACTGAATCAAGTTCCAATTTGAATTCAAATATGAATTCGAATCCAAATTTCTCCGATCCTCTATATCTTCATCCATCAGATCATCTCGGTATGCTATGTGTTTCAAAGCAGTTTGATGGATCGAATTTTTGGTTCATGGAGCAAGGGAATGCTTATTTCATTATCTGTAAAGAACAAGATCGGCTTTGTTAATGGAAAATTATCAAAACCTGATGATAATGATCCAAAGTTTGACCTATGGCAGAAAGGCAATGACATGGTGACCTAATGGATCCTCAATATTCTTACTAGTGACATCATTGAATCAGTTCTTTATTCATGCTCTGCATTCGAGATCTAGAAGGATTTAGAGGAACGTTTTGGTCAATCTAATGGAGCAAAACTCTATCAGCTTCAGAAGGAAATCTTGTTAGAAATTCGGGGTAGTAAAGACACTTGGATATTATGAGAATTGTGATTTCACTATCAAATCAAAGTATTTGGGTGGTACTCCCTAATCTTTGATTGGATAAGACTCAGAAGAGAAAAAAAACAGAGAATGAAAATGTATGAATTTCGTGAGTACCAGAAAACTGACCAAAAATTGGTTAAAAACCTTCTTTGTCTGAAAACTGTCAAAACCGTCATAAAACAGTTTTCTCAATAGTCAAAACTGTCATAAATCTGGCCGCCCCTTGGACCCCGCCAAGGGCTGCCGCCCCTTGGACCCTGCTCCCAGGGGCGCTCCCCCCGGACCCCCGTTCGTTCAGGGGCTTCGCCCCTAAATAACAGTCAACTTTTAATCTTGAATAAACTTAAACAAGTGTGCACTCCGCACATTCCTTACTTGTTTAATATTCATCAAGATTGATTTTTGGTCAACAAGTCAACCCATTACACTTAAATACAATTAGTGAAACAAATCACCAACAAATCTCAGATTTGTCTCAAGGTAACAATGATCTTCCCTCTTACTTCACAAAACTCAAGAAAAATTGGGACGAATTAAGTACGCTTTCTTCATTTCCTTCGTGTACTTGTGGTGCTGCACAAAAGCTTCGTGAATTTGAGCAAAATCAAAAACTTATTAAGTTTCTTATGGGACTTAATCGTGATTACTCTTCAATAAGAGGTAGTATATTGATTATGAAACCTCTTCCGACTGTTGCTCAAGCTTATGCTTTATTAATTCAAGATGAAAAACAGAGGGAAGTTCAATTTTCATCTGTTTTCATGACTGATTCTGCTTCGATGAATGTTAGATCCAACAATCTCCAATCCAAAACAAATTATGACAACAAGAAGCATTTAGTGTGTACTTACTGCAAGAAAACAGGACACACAATCAATAAATGCTATCGATTAGTTGGATTCCCAAAGGATTTCAAGTTCACTAAACCAAGAAGTGTTGCTGCAAATGTTATTAATCTTCAACAAACTACTGAAGATCATTTAGCATCAAAAGGAGACGTTGTACCTGAGTTTACAAACGAACAATATCAATAATTCATGTCTATGCTCAATTGCTTCAAGTCTAATGGAGTCAATTCAGGATACACCACTGCTGATCAAACTCCTCAAGAACACACTCAGGGACAAAATCATTCCAATGTCAACTTCCCTAGTAATTCTCACATTCCTTTTGATCCAAACAAGTGTCATTACATGACAAATGAAATTTCTACCTGGATTATTGATTCTGGTGCAAGTAATCATATGTGTTTTGAATTTTGATAGATCTCTGTTATTCAACATTCATAAAATCACTATTCCACATTACATTACTCTTCCTAATGGCGAGCAAACCATTTCATTTGAAATTGGTCATGCTAATATAACTAAAGATGCGGCCCTTCATAATGTTCTGTATGTGCCTATATTTCGATACAGCCTTCTTTCTATTGCTAAACTTTGCAAAGAACTCAAATCATTCATTCTTTTCTCAGAACATTATTGTTTCTTGTTACAGGACCTTTCTATGAAGTGGCCTTTGGTTCTTGGTAGACATCATGCTGGCTTGTACTTTGTTCATTCTACACAAGAAGCAAATAAGAGTCTTAATATGTCTGTTACTGCTAAGGCTCCTTTAAATTCCTTTGTAATTTTTTCAAATTCTCTTTGTAATTCCGTGTCAAATGATACCTCTATTTCTCTTTGGCATAAGCGACTTGGTCACTTACCAATGTATAAGTTGAAAACTTTCAATGTGTTGAAAAAAATGATTTTAATCATGGATTCTTTTGTGATATTTGTCCTAAAGACAGACAACACAAACTTCCGTTTCATCATAGTAAGATTCATACAAAATCTCCTTTTGAACGTATACACATTGACACTTGGGGGCCTTATAAATCAAAAACATATGATGGTTATTCATATTTCTTAACGATTGTTGATGATTTCACACGATCAACATGGACACATCTGTTGAGCAAAAAGAGTAATGCATTTCAAGTGTTGAAAGGATTCATTGCAATGATAGAGACCCAATTTGATAAGAAAGTTAAGACTATTCGTTCCGATAATGCATTTGAACTTGGATCTAGCAATGAAGCCATTCAATTCCTTCAACAAAAAGGAATCATGCACCAGACTATCTGTCGAAGTACACCCCAACAAAATGGGGTTGTGGAGCGTAAACACAAACACCTTTTGGAAACATCCCAAGCTCTATTATTTCAATCAAATCTTCCTATACGGTTTTGGGACTTCAATTGTTGAATGATGATGAACTTTGTGATTTGTAGCCTCGGATTCGTAAATTGATGATCAGAAACGCGTTTGGAGAAGCTTTAAATGTGTTTGGAACCCTCCAAAACTGTGTAAAATCGCAGGGGTGAAGTCCAATTGGGTGAACTAAATGGAGAAACACCATTTGGTAAACTACATGGATTGGAATCTTCTTACAATCATTTAAAGGCATTTGGTTACTTGTATTTCATGAGCACTCTCAAGGAAAAACGTGACAAATTTACCCCTAGAGCATCTCCCCGTGTTTTCATTGATTATCCTTTTGGGAAGAAAGCATACAAGCTCTATAATCTGGATACTAACAAGGTTGTCATTTCCAGAGATTTCTATTTCCATAAAAACAACATTACATTCCATTCTATGCAACATAATTCTATTCCAATGTTTCCAGTTCACGAATCATTACCTGTTTATGAAGATGATTCATTACCTCATCCAATACCTTCCCCCATTATCTTCTCCTTGACCTTCAAATGATACAGTTTTGCCTTCATAAAATCAAGCCATTTCCATAACCAATCCACCAATTTTTGTTTAAAATACAGATTCTACCCCTGCTCCAACTTTTGTCCCACAACAAAGTTCTTCTCAACAAACTCATGTAAGAAGAACCACCAGATCTAGACCTCCTTCCTACCTTCAAGATTAGTTGTCAAAGTATTCACTCAAAAGGAGGGAATTAACTATACATAAACCTTTTCACTTGTAGTAAAAATGACAACGATTCGTGCTCTTATTGCAACAAATGTAAAGAAAGGGTGGCAAATACATCAACTAGATGTAAACAACGCTTTTTTACATGGCGATCTAGAGGAAGAATTTACATGAAACCCCTTCCAGGACTTATTTTACAAATAAAAATCAAGTTTTCAAATTGCAGAAATCACTTTATGGGCTTAAACAAGCATCACGACAGTGGTATTCCAAACTTTCTTCAGCCTTAAAGAATAAAGGATATCAACACTCTAAAGATGATTATTCGTTGTTTCACAAATCAATGGGTTCACATGTTACATTTCTAGCAGTTTATGTTGATGACATCATGGTCACAGGAAATAATGAAGAAGAAGTGACAAGTCTTAAAGCATTCCTTGATTCTCAATTCAA